GTCGCACATAGCAGGACATACAGGATACACAGGAGAACTGCGCACACTGGCATGGTACTAAAGGACAACGGCCATTATACAAATGAAACCCACACATGTTGCGCCACTGCTACTGCCAGTGCCAGTGCTCCCGGCCGATGGCAACGTATCGCCACCCACTGCACCTGCCAAGGTGTATAAGATATTATTATCGCAGTATCATTACATGTGGCCGTGCGAAAAATGCTCTGCATGTTTATTTTCAAACAATTCATTTAAAAGTGACTTTTCCTTCCCCCATCCCACCCTCTCAGGATTTTTTCTCTTTCAGTATGTTTTCAGTTACCAAAGTAAACATAGACTTACGCGTATGCAACATATATACATTTATATGATTTTTATACAATAATAATATACATTTAGAAAAGTATAGAAGACTAGACTGGGGGGAAGGGTGCAGTTGAAGCCTATCAAGAAATGACTCTGATCCGGTTCGATTCTACGAGTTTTCAATGTATTTTCAGGATCTTCCGTTTTTCAGGCTAATAAAGCACAATTGAACTTTGTGAGATGAGGGTTTGTGTGGCAGAGGCTTTATTGAATTTTTGTTGATATTGTTGTTTCTCTTGTCTTTTTTTGACATGTTACTTTGGTGTTCAGTCTGCGGATGTGCATCCGGGAACATGCCCACAAAATGACACCTTTGTGTATATACGCACAATTTTATAAGCTAGTGGAGAAGAAGAGCACAGCCAGGCCATGCTGCGCCAATCAGTGGCTTTTAAGGCCTACACCGCTGCTGCAGCCGACAGGCCATGGGCGCCCATGAACGCCCAACTCACACTGGGCCGCATCGGCTACTGTGAAGCGGCAACATGGCGTATGCGAACAACGAGCTACAAGCAAACACGATGCGTTTGACAAAAGTTGCATAAATTAACGTTAAAAGCAATGGCCTTGGTTGTTGTTACTTTGTTAGCGGCCCGGCCCACAGGCAGCAACAACATGCAATAAAGTCATCAAATGATGCCTCTGCCTCTGCCTCTGTCGTTGCCGTTGCCGTTGTCGCCGCCACTGCCGTTGTCATTGCCTTTGTTGATGTTGATGCTACCTGGTCATGTGCAAAACAACCGCAAATTCATTATTGCATTTACCGTCGATATCTTTTAGTTTCTACGTCAAATCTTATTATGTAGCTAAAAACGTTTTTTTTTTCTCTGCTGACAGTCCAGTTGGGAAGCAATTTGTAATGAAGGAAGCATAAATTTCTCTACGCTTCAGAACTTCCCCAATATGCTGATGAATACACGGAAAGACGGCACGTAATATGGCTTGTTAGAATGCTTTTAAAACCTCCCCTAATTCGATGCCATAGATAGCACATGTCGCCAAATATTCACATGTGGACAGCGCCCGCTGTGAGCGAGTGTGTGGACAAGCGCGGAATAGGGTAAAAAAAAAGTGTGCTCAAATCTAAATATAGGAATAAATGAATTATGAGTAAATGGATTTGCCTCGCTCTCGTGCACCCAAGCACACAGCGCTGTGTTTCTGTGCACTTGAGCGTAAGACAACAGAAATAGCACCCATACTTACACAGGCAACACCTAGAAGTAAATTGATGTGCATCTGAAATGCTTTGATGTTTATCTTCCTGTTTGGTAATTAATTAAGTGAAAGCCTTGGCGGTCTTTTTAACATGTGCCCAACTTACTGGTGCATGCCAAATCCTCTATGCCATTGTCTAAAGGGTTTCGGAAAAGGACACCACCAATCAATACGAACGACTGCAAGTGTTGGGGTAGCCTACACAGCACTCAGGCTTAACTGTTCCCACAGGATTAGCAGATTTGAGTTGCTCAGTCCGAACTTTGAAGCATAAACTTAAAGACTAATTAACATATACATAAAGTATCGACATCAGCCCATCCACTGTACAGAGTAGAGCATGTCGCTTCATCCGCCGAAGCATACTTCATGGACAATACCTCCGCCAACTAAAGTTGGTCTAGTTGACATATAAATGCATTACAGTTTTAAATAGGGACGTTCAGTTATTTATTGCCTCACGGATCTCTGCTGCTGTGTGGCACACTGCTCGTCAATGCCAGTCACAACAATGAGCGGCAGCTATGTTATCATGACGTTGTTTAATTAAATTTCTGAAATTAAAATGTTTTGTTTATATAAATTGAAAAATGCGCAGACCAACTACTACTCAATGAGACAAAGGGACAAAAATCAAACAACACTGAATGACAGAATAGCAGACGGCGAAACATCTCATCACATGACGAACTCCGAATGCTCTCATCAGTTCTCAACTTCAAATGATTAAAATAAATTTCTGCTATATAATTGAATATCCTAATACTAAAGCTTCAATTGCAAAGATAAATATCTGCAACTAGATTAGGTCAGAGATATAAGTTGACTAAATGTTAGTGGCACTTGCTTTGGTGTTGCATACTGCTGCAAGAAGTCAGCGGACTTTGCGGCATCCATCGACTCTTTGCTGGGTAGCCGTCTGCCTGCCAGTTAGCGCTATTGTTTGCAACTCAAATCGGTGCTGGTGCGATATATATTTAACTGAAGTCGTTTTCTCGGTTTAACAGGCTGCAAGTCAGTCATTCAGTGATTGAGCGTCATCAATGTTTTCAGACACTGGCAGGTGTATGCATGCACAGGTGCAGACGCAGGTGCAGGTGCATGTTCAAGTGTTACTGGCTTTTCAATTTGGTTCCATTCATATCCCTTCTGTTCTCTTTGCGTCCGTATCTTACAACAGTTTTGCCGCTGTTAATCGCAACTCAAATTCGTCCTTAAAATTGCGATCGATGGTCGACTGTTTGGGGCTAGTTTTACTTTTAATTTTATTACAAATCCTTGAGCTATGCAATTTCTCCTTGTTTCAGAGCTCCGAAAGGAATGACTTTTTTGGAACTTTGACTATAACTAGGGTTTCATACGATTGTATGGCATACTTTTTGGAAGCGTATTGATTCGGACTTTCCCTGTGTATTCACAGATTTTCCATGACATTAGATCTTTTAAAAATATTCACTTTATTCCGCAAGATGACGTCTAGAACTTTGCATGACTCTAGTTCGGGCATCCTTTGCCACATGTTTGACTCATCTATTCTTGATCAGGACGGCAAGTTGAGTGGACCGTCCGGTCGTCTGTCCGAATATGTAAACGCGTAGAATTCAGCATCCATAAGTTCAGTTGAAAATAGATACAATATATGAAGGAGTTTGCATTTTTACTAAGCCGACAATTGGACTGGAATCAGGGTATTTCTTAGTCGGGCGCCCGGACTAGGGATTCTTACTTGTTTTATCTGAATTTGATGAGCAGCTGCATGTATATTGAGTAAGTTTTGTTTTTTTAAGCGAACAGCATATTTCTGGCAACACGATTTTATATATACCTTACGCTTCGGTGGCTTTTATCATTCTCTCGACATCAGAGAATATTATGGATAAATGCATTTTGATTATTTGATTAACCACAACTCGGTTATTCTTTTGATCGTTGAGTAGTGACCACACCAAGTCGTCAGTCTTTGGGCCCACATCCATTTCGCCTGTGACAAAATACACGGTGGCAAGCCATTCAACCAATACCCAGAAGACGTGTCAGGCTGAGCGCTCTGCTAGGTGGCAGCTAAGCATGCCACATGGCAGACGTCGTCACTACAGCAAGCCAGTGAAGCATTGGCAAGCGGAATAGTGTAGACACGTTGTCCGTGAACTTTGTTACCCTTGTCAATCAGTTGTGTCCGTCGTTCGAGTCCAAATGTTTTCAATGAACTGCAAAATATCTAATTCCCTTTATTTAATTACATTCTATCTGCAAAATACTCAAAGCACTCTACTTCCATTCACTGACATATGCAAGACAGTATTTCCTTCCGTACTCCGTTGATGGGAGCGAAAATTGTTTAATTTTGTTGATTACTGTCATGCTGAAACTCATTTGGTTGTGTGCACAAAAGCTTTCTATCACGATGATGACGACGGCTGTCACTTAAATCGACGAAGAAGCAACTCTGTTCAATAGGCGGGAAACCTCTTGATTTCCGACTCATTGCTGTCCAACCACAAAGCCTCTGCTCTGCGTACTCACGCTAAGCAAGACATATTTGCAGAGCTACATGCCAATCGAACTAGTATATCTGATACAACGAATTGCGACCGGGCATACCCAACCGACTGCATAATACTTGCTCGACCATCCATTATCTGAAAACAGAATGGAGAATGTTGGGAGTGATACAGCACTACAGGTCAAAGATTCTGCCACCAATGGACGCCTATGCTATATATATTCTATATATATAGTTTTTAAATCTGAAAGTCTATAGGTTAAATGTCAGCGAAATGCATTGGACACCGACCGCAACACCCATACAGTCGTTTCGCTTTTTGAACGAGCATAAAAAGGTTAGCATTACCATAGCATAAACTCTAGCAGCTAAATTGAATGCCTTTAATATTCCCATGTCAAACTTATGCGTGTATTAAACACTCTGAGAACAGCTTCTACTATTCTACATATTTATGATAAAAGCAAGAGAAGGGCTCCTATTATGAGTGAAACCATTAACATTACATTGGAAACGAAGCAGGACTATCCAAATGTCAATAAGTTTTCATTTTTTATTTGTAAATATATTCTTGATCGGGACGAAAATTAAAAAAATATATAAATATAGATATGTGCATGAGAGTAATGTTGGTCTCATTATTACGTTCATTGGCCATAGTAAAGCCCATAAATGTAGCCCAAGCGCAGCAGAAGCGTTGAGCGTTTGATAAACTATTCGTAGGATTCGGAGTACCTCCGTCTCGGGCATTTGCGACTAGCAGTTTTACTTATTTAAAGCTTAAATGTCTTTAATAGCTTATACCACTATACTGAAGCTATCAGATTTTCTTAATACTTTGACTGATATGCGTAACCTCAAAAGAAAAAGTAATCTTTCTACAGGTTACCACAAAATGTGGCAAGTGCATTCCAAGTTGATATATTTTTGTCTGTTCGCATTTAACTACTTATTTTTAACATTAACTAAGTTCTTGTACTTGCATGAAACTATAAATTTGATTTAATCTTAATTGATTTTCTGTAGCCATCAAAAAAGTAATTAGTTAAATTAGATCGGAGTCTGCTGTTAGTAGCGCAGTCCCAGATGCTCGTAAAGCGGTATTTCCATCACCGATTCGCTTGTTTTCATTTCTTGGAAGTCTCCGCCCTCGAGTAAGTAAAGAGGGCGTGCCAATTTTGGATTGTTTAAGTAAAAGTCAATAAGCGCAGTGGTGCTGCGAAGATGGGTAATGCCTTTGAATATCTTCTCGCGTGTGAGAAGATCATTGGGGTAGACCGTTTCGATGACCTTATCGCCGGAGCGCTTGATCCAAGGTCGATCCTTTTGAGGTACAGTGCGACCAAAGGCGCTAAGAAGCGGCTTTTTTGTCTCGCGCATTGCATGGTTATTGATGTGTTTCTCGTACTTAAGCTCGATTGCCATCTATGAAATACATCGATTTTTATAATTAAAAGCGGTTTCGTGTTGACTCTATATGAGAGCTTACATGAGGCTTGTTCCACTTGTCGGCAACTGTCTGTGCTATGGCGTTCACCTCCTTAGGATCCGTTTTGACCGACGCAAGGAGCGTACGATCGCCTTTGATGGAAAATAAATTTTTTACCTTCTCTGGTGTCATAGACGTGTCCATTGTACCGATAGAATTGAGCCACTGAATGAACCGTTCGGCAGACTGTTACATAGCTTAGATTAAGGTCAATGCTAGACAATCTTAATAGGTACTAATTACCGCATCCATTAGATTCTCTGCCTGTTCGTCAAGCGTGTACGCAGAATCGCCTGCTTTGGATCGTTCCACTCGAGAGTCCCAACAGACACGCTCCTCTCGAGAGGCACACAAAAACTTTGCATACCAGCTAGTCTTGTCGACACTACGATGGGTGTGGCCTACTGGTTCATCTAACCTAAGATCGAACTTTTCGAATTCATGATCCATGCGCACTATGTCCGAGTGCTGGCTTTCGCTAAAGTGTTCTTCCACTTTCTTGCGGTCCGTTATCTAAAAAGTCATTTTTTTAAGCATATCAGCTATCCAATATCAATGACTATTTACTACTTACAAGGGGAGCTCCTTCTTCCTCTCGACTGTCCTCACTCGCTATCTGATAGTCGTGCGGCCGCTCCTCGCGCATCTCGTCCCGAATAAAAACAACATCATCTGAAGTTGAGTAATCGTAGGCTTGTATCTGCTTTACTCGTTCGCGTAGATGTGGCGGCAGGACCAGTGAGTAGTCGATTACAGGTAAGCGAGGCTCCGAAACGCAGTGCACTGCAAACTCCACCTCGTCAATCACGTCGCGCCAATATGACTTGCCACGCAGTCCACCTCGTGGGCGAAGATGTGCAAAGTCACTTATAATGCTGCATGAGGATGTACCAGCAGCCGGTTTGTCCACATCTTGGGCATATACAGCATTATCTTTGGTAAAATTTTCTACGCTAGAATCTGCTGAGCTGCTAGATTCAATTATTGAACTCTCCTGATTTTGAAAATCCATTTTAGTTTCTGTTTCCCCGTACAATATGAAAATATTCGTTACAGTTTTAGATATGTTTTTGGGGAATGTTTGTTCAATATTCAAAGCTGTCAATACTGTCAAAGTTGTCAAAGCGGTGAAAGCTACTACAAAAGCTTAAGGGTTTTAGCCTTAACTATTCATATTCATGAACGCAACCTGTTAGTCTAGACAAAATCATTTTTACTGTCAAAGCCTAATGCGGGTTCGTGAATCAGGTTGGAAACTTGAAAAGCAAATACCACAAGCTTATACAAGATGTGTCTATGACTACATGCGCCTAGTAAGCTTAACTTTCATACAATACGAAAATATTCGTTACAGTCTAAGATATGTTTTTGGTGAATGTTTTTTCAATACTCAAAGCTGTCAATACTGTTAAAGCTGTCAAAGCTGTGAAAGCTACTACAAAAGCTTAAGGGTTTCAGCCTTAACTATTCATATTCATGAACGCAACTGAAAGCTTAAAGCGGGTTTGTGAAGCGGGTTGGAAACTTGAAAAGCCAAGACCACAAGCTTGTACAAGATGTGTCTATGAATACATGCGCCTAGCAAGCTTGACTTTCTTACAGATTCTGCACTGTAAAGCTTAAAAGCTTTTCCATGTAACCGTATATAACTAACCACTATTAAATAAGTGATAAATTACAGACATTGTATGCTGAGCAGTCTAAAACACTCTTATTTTAAAAGAATCCAAAACTGTGGGGTTTTCCGATATGATTATCGATAGCTTTTAGGATGTACCAGACTCTATATGGGTCGGGCTTCAGAGTGTTGGCAAATTTATTTATTTTTGCCAATTGCCATGATCTTAGGCTAACAATATTTCCGTATTACTAATCGTCGTAATAATTTATTTTTTACTTTTTATTCTTTAGTCATTTTCGATCAATTTTTCCATTGTTTTCCTATTTCATTTTTATTTTTTGATTTTTATTAATGACACTTAAGATTCAGTCTTTTTCACCCTCCAATTTGACTGTTTTTCTGATCCCTATTCTTATAGACTTACTCTATATAATATCTGTTGGTTAGTGGTTCCTTACTGTTCATTCGTATGTATTAGAGTCTGAATACGAAGAGAAATAGAACTGAGTTCCACTTGCTAAAACAGCAGCTGAATTCTCATAAGGGTCTCAACGATTTGGTTTTGAGTGAGCAGAGAAGAGCACAGAAAATATATTTTAGTTTCAGTTTAGATATTTTTATAACATAGTTACCTTCACTTGTTCTTTCAGGAGCAACGAAGAAGGCAACTTAACGTGAACTGCAATATTCACTGCGCTGTCCCAAAGAATTCGATGGCTTGGAATTCGAAAGCTCGTGGCAGTAACAGTCTGCTAGGATGGAAGGGACACCCGAGTACATAAGTGACAAAGACAACTTTGCAAAAATTGTGCGCATATTAAAATTCTTGGCAAAAGCTTTTGACATAAATTAAAACTTTTTATCAACGAACACATGGCACAGCCCCTGACATACAAGCTCATGCGAAAAAGTAAAAGGTGCTCCATAAGCACTAGCACAAAGCATATTGGTTTTATGCAAGCGCCTTTTGGCTTTCCATCGAAACTGGAAACTCGAATCTTGAAACTCCTACAGATGGCAACTGTAAGTCTAGCTACTGAAATTATTGTAAGACATCCAACTTAGAGACAACAACAAGTCAGCAGCTATATTTCCATTCAGATATAGTTGCATATCAGATATTGTGTCTAGCAGTCTATATGATTCGTAGAAGTTAATCGAGCTTGCAGCCAAATAGTGTTGATACTTGGAAGAGCGAGAGGAAAAGAAACGCCAATTGAAGTCTTTTATGTGGAACGCTGACACATCGAAGGCTGATTAAAAAGTTTTTTAATTAATTTCCATACCAAAAACAACTGGCAGATCGAGAGGGGTTGCCCAATGCAGAGCGTAGCCTCCCTGAAGGGAGCTGGCGCCGAAGCCATCGTCAAATCAATTGAACCAAACTTTTTTGAGGCTGTCGACTCTGCCCCAACCCAGGGCTGGGCACCGCATTGGCTCTAATTTGCAAGCTATGCGAATGGAGCTTGAAATATTGATATCACTTACAGGGCACATCGAGCGGCACACGATTGCCTTGGCAAGCGCACATCAAAAATTAATTTCACTCCATTGCTGAGCTCCTGTGCTCGGTTCACTCAAGCTTTTTGGCTAAAAATTATTTATGAGAATTCTGGGCGTGTCTAGAAGTAAGAATGGCAGTGGGAGTAGGAAACGGGGGAGTCTTGAAGCTATCACCTACGTGATTGTTGGCACTAGCGCGTGATTTTTTCTGTGCCTGTGACAAAACTTTTTCAATAATATATAAATCAAAACGTCATAAAGTCACGGCCGCATATAGCTGGATTGCTTCGTGCCGCTCGGCTTCGGCGCTTAGTGACAGATTTTATTTGCTTTTATTTCGTCGTGGTAGATATTTTCGCAGACAATTTAAGTTGCTATTACTTAGCACTGATGTGTATTTAATATATATATTGCTATGTGTCTGAATGTCTTTCCGTGAGAAGCAATCTGACAAACAAGAAACCGCCTACGCCCACTGGTCCGCCCAGCTGTTACCTGTCTGAAGTCTTCTCCTTTATGCTTGCCAGAATCGCTGCAGTGTCCTTTCCTTTCCTTTGCTTTCAACTTTTTTCACATTCATGGAAATATGTCACAAAATTTATTGCAAAATAATTTTGCTGCTCTGTGCGACAGTGTGTATGTGTGTGTGTGGCTGTGGGTGTGACTGTGACTCTGCTCTCTAATGTCCACGCCATGTGAACGCCAAACACTCACCCGTAATTTTGACTATTTAAGGAACATCTTTTTGGCAACTTTACGTTTTGTTCTTGTTTCCTCTGTTACGCTCTGTGTCCTTTGTGCACATTAAAATATTAAAAATTCCTTTAGAATTTAAAGAATGTCCCAATCTCGCCCTCTGCCCTATGCCGTATGCGGCTTAAAAACTTTTCAGCAAAGAATAAATATTTATTCTCTTTTTTTGTCGAAAGGCATTCGAGTCGAGTTCGAGCATGAGTTCGAGTCAAGCGGGAAATTGTCTTTGATGCGCAAATATGAGCTTAACAATTTTTCCGATTGCAATATTAATTTTTCATACGTTTTATGATATAATCAATCCCACAAAACACTTGCGAAAATTGGATCGAGATTATGCTCCGATAATATGCGGCCCGGACTTACAAGAAGCACCGACGCGTCGGCATCCACGGCAATCCACGAATTTGATGGAAAAAGTCGAGCACGGACAACTACTATATGTGTGTCTGAGTCGAAGATTATCTGCTGCCACGTTCGACCATATCACTCAATTGCATTCCAATGCTCCACTATCCACGGAAATGCTCCGCTGCAAACATTGCGGCGCATGGACTTTGCCTGCAAACAAAATTAAATGAAACGAGTGCAGAGATAGTACGTAAATGTTTGTTTTTGTGCGTTTCAATCCATTTGAATGCGAAATATTTTTCACAAATATTTTGAAAAATTCGCTCAAAAGCGGTTCAATGTAATCGTCTCGTCTGTCTGTCTGTACATCAAAGTACATCGGTGTGCCTGAATATATACAGACAGAAATATATACAGTGTGTATATTTGTATCTATAAATGGTAGATAAATGGACTGGGACAGATCCTGATCTCTGTGCGTATATAAACAACAATTTTGTAATGTAAATCGACAAACGTATACCAAACAGGCAGACGGACGGACGGACGGGCTGACAGACAGACGGACGGACGGATAGATAGACGGACGGACGGGCAGACAGATGATGAGAGATGAGCAGTGAGGATGGGTTATGGCTTTGCCATATCAAACGAATCAAATAACTCCATTACAGCCTCTGCGTGTGCAGCTTTTAACCCTGCTTTCACCACAACTTTTATTTGTAAATTATTTTTAATTGAAATCGATTGGAGGCAGCACGTATCGAAAAAAGCGAATTGCAGTTAAATATACTCAATTCAATAATAGGTGCCCACCATTACTGAAAACTCATAAAACACAAACAGTTCATCAAACATGGAAGTTTCATCAGTTATATCTGACTGCAAGCGTGATGAGATCTAGATGCAGGACTATTGCAGTTAGCTATGTAGAAGGTACCGACTCTTGCGGCCAAATACTAGGCCTTAGTTAATCATATTTTCGGTTGAATAAAATAGATTGCTTATAGCAGGCAGGCAGAGCTATTTATTTTGTGATTTATTAACTAATTTAACTGCAGAGTATGATTTATGCTAGCCAATGCTGGCATCCAGGAGGGGTTACGGAGACGAGTCGATTTTCGAGTCGGAGCAGCCGTGGAGGTTAACAACAGCGACAGCTGCCTGCCACAAGCCTCCAAGGGACAGTAAAACGGAACATTGAACTTTCAATGCAACAATAACTTAAGCTGCAACAACAATGCACAAGTTTGCAACTTTCAAGAAATTTACACCATCAGCGAATAAGAGAGCATGTACCGTTGCTGTTGCTGCCGCTACTGCTGCTGTTGCTGCCAGATCAGACTTTGGTGCAGGAAGTTCAAACAGCTAAAGAAAATGTGCAGGAATCGGCAGTTTTTCCTTTACTGTTACTGCTACTGTTACTCGCTTGTTTGCTGCAAACAATCTGTTTCTCGCTGCCAACCAACTACTATGGCAGCAAAGAAAAATTGAAACAAGCTGAGCTGAACAACGCTACTCAACTTGAACAGTGGAACAGTGGCAGAGTCGAGCATTAGTCACGGCCGAATGGGAGTCACTTTAGGCTGCCTTTGCAGCCTACCCTCGCAGCTGAAACTGCAACGTCTAGCTCGGGCATGTACTATATTTAGACACGCAAAAGACAGAAATATAAACTTATAAAGACACCAGACGCCATCCAAACAACATAGTTGTAACAGCCAGCAAAAAGCCATATTTGGCAACTGAGCAGTAGTTGAAAGGTCTTTGGAGCCCACACAAGATGAATTATGGCCAAAGTTATCGGCTTTCGCTTGTGCACTGCAACTGCTGCCCGTTAACTGCGTCCTGGGTGCAGATACTGATACTGA